GTTCTGCCGACATCGAGCAGAAACTCACGACTGTATGCGCGCTTAGAGACAGATAGACGCGACGAATACGTACAAAAACACTGCGACTCACAAGACAAAAAACACGAAAACACCTTTCTGTCGGGAGATAGAGAAGCCGCAGCGTGTGAACGTGCCGCCATCATTAAGTAGAACCTTTAATTGGTAGAACGAGGATAATGATTGAGGTGTTTTTTCTGTTTGTAGAAGGTTTTTTTTCCTATGTTATGCTTGATACATATGGAAGCGTTGTGGATTGAATTCGAATCTTCGTTGATGGAGTTGGCAAGTAGGCCTACTAAAGGCTATCTGTTTGGTTCCCTACCATGGAGTTGCTTTTAAGGACTGATTCGACGCTTTACAATACGGATAATAATTGTGATTCAAGGACAACGTTTGAGCCTACTTCAGTCGTCGCTGCCATTGGACTTCTTCAATGTCTAACATGATCACAGAGAAGACTACTTTCTTTGACTTTTAAACATTGTGCTTTCACACTCAAGGACTTGATTCATAGTTTGATCAAGATGGGTCAATTTTTGATCTCAGATGAACAAGTGGTGTTGGATTGATATTATCACTGTTGTGTTTGGTGCAAAATGTGTATTGTTTTCGCTAGTATCACTTAAATTGAAAGGAATACAAGTTAAAGAAAGAGTTTTGTGGCTGCCTTATTTTATTTGTTAGAATTAATCAACGTTTATGTTGGAAACCCACCCAAAAATCAGATATATAACTAACATTGGTTTAAATATTAATCTGAGTGGTTCTAGCGTGTAAAAGTTGTTGGTAAACTGAGTTTTCAAAGCATGCAATAATCAGCAAGGGCAGTATAAGCAACCAAAACATACATAATCACGTAATATCTTTACACGTGAAGGACAGTGACAAAGTGTGTAAAGGCATTCTGTGCTTCACCACCAGTGTTGGGGAAAGTTACTTTTAAAAGTAATGCATTACAATATTGCGTTACTCCATAAAAAAGAAGAATACTGAATCTGTTTTTTTTTGTAGGTTTTTTTTTGTGAGTGAGATTAATTAATGCATATTCATATTTATTTTAGAACTACAGTAACATCTGATTTCTCTCAACATGGGGACAGGAGAGCTGTCAATCAATACGTTGGACAAAAAAAGTAACTTGCCTTACTTATTTGGAAAAGTAACTCAGATATTCTCTTGTAAATTCAAAAGTAATGCGTTACTTTACTAGTTACTTGAAAAAAGTAATCTGATTACGTAACTCACGTTACTTGTAATATATTACCCCCAACACTGTTCACCACACACACACACAAACACACACACACATGTATAATGACATGGGTACTACAACGTAAACATGGTTTATGAGGACACTTCTTGTGTCCCCGTAAAACAAACGGCTTAAAAAAACATACAAAACGGTGTTTTATTAAATTCGAAAATTGCCAGTAGTTTCCTGTGAGGGGTAGGTTTAGGGGTAGGGTTGGTGTAGGGCAATAGTCACTCACACACACACACACACACACACACACACACTCACACACTCGATGTTCTCACAAGATGAAACATGTTTAGCTTGAAGAGAAGCTGCAGTGACTGAGGGCAGTCTCTCCTACACTGTATACTGTAGACTGCAGATGTGTAACGTGTCGCCACATGCGCCTCTGGCCGTGTTCAGCGCTCGCGAGCTACTATACCTGCGCGTAGCGTTGCGTAGCTTACCTGAGCCGATGACGAGCGCTTTAGCTCCACAGCTGTGCAGACAGTGCCGCAGCGACTGAGATTTGATGTTGAAGTTGAGAAACGCGACCTCGCAGCCCAGTTTACAGAGTCCGAACCAGACGCAGATGAAGTCCGCCTCGTTGTTCATCAGCAGCGCCACGATATCGCCGTGTTTCAGACCGCAGTGCGATTTCAACGCGTTTGCGAATCTGTTGCTCCGCGCATCCACGGCCCTGTAAGTGAGGGTCTGCTCTTCGAACACTATGAAGGCTTTCTCTGGGATGTTTCTGGCTTGGAGCTCAAAGCACTGGAGATATGTGACAACCCCGCGCTTCATCCTCGCCATCATCATGCTCCCCACGCGCCGAACTCTCGCGTAGTACATCAAGTCGTCCCAAAAGCAGGGGTAAAACTTCCTCTGAATGAGCAGAAGAGTGACCATCCCGACGGCCAGAGTGCTGATGGCCCAGCTCATTGTGACGGGTTGGTGTAACTCTCACACTGGCGAGAAGAACTGCTTGTGTTGAGCTGCAGGACTCTTCAGCCCATATTTAAATACCCTCAGACGCTACTGCGCATGCGCAAGCCTGGCTGCTCAACCTCAGCCTCATCGAGCCGATCATTACGCTCATTCTCCTCAAACACATACTTACAGATATCACCAGAAAGCATACAAGGCTTGCTTTTAAGTCCAAACCGCTCATAACCCAATAAAGCTGTCTCTTATGCTCAGAAGGGCTGTCTAAGCATCATGGCTGTGAGACTCTACTGACACGCATATAATACTCTCACTGTGTAAATTACTTTAGATTATTTTTGAGTAATTCATGATGAAATGAGTAAATCCTCCCACACTGGATGCTCTCATTAATATATAACATGGCGAGTTGTTTGTCTTATGCGATTAGAAACGTATGACAATAAACACACAATAATCTTTGTATTGCCCATAAGTGCATTGTTAATGTTTTACAACTAAGTACTACTTTAACACATATTTATGATATAAGTTACACTTAGCATTCATTTTATTATGCTATCAAATTTGTTCAGTGTTGAAAACAATTTTGCTGCTTCATGTTTTTGTGGAAACGCTGATACATGTTATTTTTCAGGATGCATAGATGAACAAACAGTTCAAAACAACAGCATTTATTTGAAATATTTAGTAACATTACACTTGTCTTTATTGTCAGTTTTGATCAATTTCAGTTTTTGTTTTTAACTCACCCCCAAACTTGACTCAAGTCACAGCCTCCCGGTTTTCATCCAAATGATCTTTATGTTAGGGGTTTGGAAGACATTTTCATTCTGGGCTGAGTAACCCTTTGACGCCTATCCCCTGTGCTACGTGTGTGCTCCTGCCCCTGTACGTCTTTATCTGGATCATAAAGACTGCTCCTGGTTCCTTCACCCTAGCCCTAGCCAGTCCTCAGCCAGCTTCAACAATCAGCTAGAACACATCTCTCCCATCTGTATTTCACACTCTATTCTAATTCTAGTCTTACTACTTGTTTTCTCTAAAAAAGAGAGCCTCTGACACTATAGCATGCTCTGTTCTTTTTCTATTCTATCTTCTTGTTTTCTTTTTATTTATTATAAAACCCTTGCTGCATGTACTGTGTTACGCTAACTGAGACTTGTCACAGCACTTAAGATTATTGCTCTCTTGTTGGTTTTGATTGCTTCTATTGTCCTCATTTGTAAGTCGCTTTCGATAAAAGCATCTGATAAATGACTAAATGTAATAATATTTCACAATATTACTATTTTACTGCATTTATGATCAAATTAATGCAGTCTTGCCGAGCAGAAGAGACTTACAAAAACAATCTTTTGAAGAAACTTTTGGCTATTATTATCTTTTGGTTGTCTTGTATGGATCAGGATTTTTAACATCTTGCTGATGATGTTCATAAATATCATAAATGGGTATCAACAACTGGCTTCTGGGTTTATTACCATTAACGCATGCAAGTATTAGCTGTCAGAATAACAAGTGAAAAGCAGTGCAGAGATAATGAAGACCCACAGGATGGCGCTAAACCTCAGATTCCTCATCAGTGGGGCTTCAAATTCATCTCTAATTATTATATAATGTATGAATTGTATATGGATATAGTTATGAAATCTATATGAATATACTTAGCTTATCAGGAGGTACAGGAATGACTGTTTTCATGTTTTAGATCTCTTACAGTTAGTCTAAATGTGCACAAAGTACTTAGGCGTACTGTAGCTCTGCGGAGACTTCCACAGGGAGCCATTGTCTTTCTCTGAATGAACGGGTCACTGTTGCATTCACAGCATCACACTGTCATTTGCATGTTAACAATCTGCAGTTCCTTGGGCCAGTGTAACACAAAATCCATTTGGATGTGAACAAAACGTCCTACATAAAGGACTGAATGATCCGAAGCAGCACACAGACTGCCACAAAGAAGAGCCTCGGTCAGAGACAGGCTGTCTACACCGGACACGTGACAGATAAGCGCTCGGTCGGTCAGCGGCGTCAGAAGGAGCACCTGGAGTAAGGCTCGTAACACGGGCAGAGCTGTAGGATCATTTCAGTTTTCACTCTTCCTCACACAGCCTTATATGAGTGCAGATTTTATCAAGAAGAAAAACTCATCTTGAGGTAAGAATGTACTTTTTTTAACCAAAATTATATTTTGTTTAGTGCAACGTTTGCAAATAAAATCATTTAACTTCAATTAGATAAAATTCTAGTTTCTCAGGCAAAACGTGATGCATTTTTACTTGTACGTGATGCAGTATGTTAATATGGCTAGTTAAACACTGGCTGACACACAACCATCCCATGACTCACATACAACTGAGATCAGTTTCTCTTTAATCATTTTACAGGATGCCTCGACAGATATAGTGTACTAATGCTGGAACCCTTGGTAAATATGAGCAAAGGTGGCTGTGAAAATAAATCTGCATTGTTGATCCTTTTGATCTTTCACTCAAAAAAATTCACAAAATGCTAACCCATCACTGAAGTAAAACAATGGAAAGTGGAGGGACAATCTCATTATGAAATAAATGTGTTTCTCTAGTTCAAATTGGCCACAATTATTGCAACATGCAAGTCTTCTCCTGTAATGCCTGGTGAGTTTGGAGAAGACCTGACAAGAGTTCAGAGAGCATTCCTTCATCCAGAATCTCTCCAGACCCTTCAGATTCCCAGCTGCATGCTGGTGCTTCTCCTCTTCAGCTCACCACACGCGCTTTCTATAGGGGTCCATGGCGCAAGCTTCATTTTGTGCTCAGTGACACATTACTGTGTTGATTTTGATGTTTGTTTTGGATCAGCGTCCCGATGGAAGATCCAACCACGGCCCATTATAAGATTTCTAACACAGGCAGCCAGGTTTAGATTTTTTATCTGTTGGTATTTGACAGAATCCATGACGCCATGCATCTGAACAAGACGTCCAGCAGGATATTTAACTGTGGGCATGGGCTAATATTTTATCCCTGTTTGCACCAAAGCCATCTGGTGGGTTTGCAGCCAAAACGCTCTTTATTTTGTTTCATCTGGATGTTTGACCCCAGGACTCAGTTAATCTCTGCAGTTCTCCAGCTGGGATCCTTGGAGTCTTAGACCACTCAAACTCTCCTCCTCACCGTGCATCAGCACCATGTAGACACACGTTTTTAAATCTTACCTTAAAACTCATTTTTTAGGGTAGCTTTTACTTGATTTTTTGGTATTAATTCTAAATTATTTTATTTTAAGTGTTTTGAATGCATCTTCTTTTCTTGCTTATGTTATAATCTTTATATGGTGTATTTTGTTGTTTTACTTGTTTATGTAAAGCGTTTCAGATGTAACATTAAAAGGCACTGTAGAAAATAAAGATCACTTGTCACTTCTTAGATTTCTACTGGAGAGAATACAGCAGATAAAAAGGAAGTGAAGGCTAAAATATCAGTTGTTTAGAGTTAAACTGAGACCAAACCTTCAGTGCCCCCAAAAATCACTACATCAGGGCAAACATCTAAACTGAACACCTTAGACATAATTGTAAAATAATGAACCCAGTAGTTCTGCAACATAGGACAGGTGAAAAACATATGCGTCAAATTACACTGAGACGCATGGCATCTGTCACATCTGCTGCTTCTACATGAGGAAAAGTTTCAGATAACCTGGCATTTGAGAAATTAATTCTGTGAAAAACTTTCAGTTGTATCAGGCTCAGACGAGCACATATTTTACTAGAACGTGTATTCTGTCCAGCACGCCCAACCACCATTCCTCTTACTTACTCCCAACTCACTCTCCCATGCACAATCATCCAAGCCTAACTCTGCCCATACCTGCGGTGGAGGGTTCAGCGGGAAATAAAGTAGTCTAACCAAAACAAAACAACAATTCAGAAGATCTGCAAACAGTGCCATCTCTATACAAATCCGTAAGAGATGGGGGAACCATATGATTCTCCAGAGCAGAAGTCAGTTTAAAGTGTGGTGTGAACTGGCAGCAGATCTGAACTGTAGACACATCTGCTGTCCACCGGTGCAGCAGGGACTGGCGCTCTCTCTGGCAGCGGCACTTCCGGTGGCATCCCCAGATGCACGGCCTTTCTCGCCGTTTCTGCTGTTTGCTCGGTAAAACTACACTGTACTCAGTGGCGTGCAGGGTTTTGTTGTTGTTGTTGCTTTTTTTTACACAATAAAACAAGCCGAACTTGATTTAAATGATTGACAGTAACAGATCTGACCTAATGTAACACTTAACAATGACAGTCAGAGATATGACAGTATGACATATGAAAATGACATTTAACAATTGACCCACCCACCCCTCCCCCAAAAAATAAATAAATATTTTTTTTTTATAAATAAGTAAAAAAACAAATCAAATATATACATATTTAGGGTTTAGACACACCGAGACATCTTAGACTTTACATACACTCTTAAGGAGACAAAGCATATTTGACATTATACTTAATCTCTTTATACCATTTTCTCAATCAATGCAAGAAAAGAAGCCGATATTTTCATATACAGATCAAGGTGTCCTGACACTCTAAATAGCGTTGGTGTTTTTTGAAAATGATGATGCAAAGTTCCCACAATTGTATTATTATTATTATTATTATACAATTGTATGTATCAGCTGCCAGTGTTCTTGCCAGGAGTCACGATCGTTTGTCGTTGATGATGCATATTATATACCAGCAAGCAGATACGATCAGAATGTGAACCCAATAAGCTAAATTGCATAAGCATTTTCCCATAAAGAACACACACACACATAAGGAGTGCCAGCTGCCGCTAGCCAATACTGTATATACGCACACACACACATTTATTTATTTATTTGATATAACACTTTAGTTATTAACTAGTTGCTTGCATATTACTATATTAGCCGTTTATTAGTACTCATAAAGCACATACTAGTGCATTATTATGCGTGACCGTATTCTACATCTTACCCTATACCTGAACAGTAATTAATAGTTTATTTAGGCAAAAGTCAATAGTTAAGTTAATAGCGAGAATTGGACCCAAAACTAAAGTGTGACCATATGTATGTGTGTGTGTGTGTGTATATATATATATATATATATTAAAATAATCATGAGACCATTTTAATTGAGACACTTAAGTTTTTATTGATTTTTTTATTTATGATCCTTTGTACTTTGCTTTATCAACCATTTCTGTGCAG